ATCATTATCTAACAGGACAGCGGGGTACTCTTCACACTTTTAATTGGGGATGTTATTTCTTTCTTGTTTTAGATTCTCCGATATACGTACGTCTTATGGACGGAACTACTCCCAATAGAGGCCGAGTAGAAGTGTATCGTAATGGATTTTGGGGCACCATCTGTAGAGACAGTTGGGATATTCCGGATGCTTCAGTTGTTTGTCGAATGTTGGGTTACGCGGGAGCCTGGAAAGCTGGCTGTTGTACTGATTATCGGGGTGGGACTGGTCCAGTATGGCTAAGTGACATTTCATGTACAGGACAAGAGAAGTCTTTATTAGAATGTCGTCACAGTGGTTGGGGTGTCAATAACTGTGATCACAAAAAAGATGCAGAGGTCGTATGTTACAGCTCGCCAACAGTAAAACCATCTCACTTTTTCAGTGGACAAACCATGTCAGCAAGAACACAAAAATCTTTTTTTTCTAGCACAACAGCAGTTACATCCACATTGGCTCAGTCTATTTCGACACAGGTGCTTCCACCAATACCCTTCAGTCCAACATCAATACAATTCCAAACCCATATTGTTCGAGTTACAGAAGCTATAGACGTATCTCCGAGTTCTTCGTCGTTGGCCGTCATGTCCAGCTCTGTTATTTCGTCCACAAACCCCAGTAAGTAGCCCGTGCAGTCGTTGTTCCAGCTCATTAACAACTGTCGAAATGCAATCACTTTCCAAGGCTTTGACATGAATATAGACGTTAAGTTGTGTTACCCCTTTGTTGTCAGTGTGGAACGGCTCTCGATTAGTAAAATAAGTTAGATTCTGTGATCAATCAGGGACTTCCATGTGAGTGTGCTTAGCATAGAGATTAACCCCCAGAAAATGAAGATGAGAGGATACAAAAGAACGGTTTGAGGCAGACACTCACCACGCAGTTCTATTTTACAGACATGAACCATTAAATGATAAACAAGTCACTGTTTTATGACTTAATTGTTGAGCTCAACACCGAATACAAGTAGATACGTGTGAATTCGGCATTTTCGATCACAATATGACTTTTTTAAACAGTTGTGTTTATTGAGCTGCTGAATGGCGGTGGTCACCCAAATCAAGGTCGTGTTTCACTTTACTACAATGGCCAGTGGGGTACAATATGCCAAGATCATTGGGAGTTGAATGATGCCCATGTGGTGTGTCGTATGCTGGGATACCCAAGAGCTTTTGACTTTACCAACAGGACAGTCTTCGGTAGTGCTAACGATGGACCAATATGGTTAGATGAAGTCAACTGCACGGGAAATGAGAGCACCCTCGCAGCTTGTCCACATGCTGGCTGGGGAAAAAGTAACTGTGATCACAGTAAAGATGTGGGGGTGAAATGTGACTTTAATTACACTGTGGAGGCAAAAGGTACGGCAATAAGCTAATACGATTATCAGATAATATTTGCAAACCGCAAATTCATTAATTCCTAGAAGTCAGCCAGTCCGTCAAGCAATCGATTTGTGCTTCGTAAGTTTTTGGTACCTGGGTGTTTCGACAAAGTCTTTAATGTCTGAAACTCTCTCTGCAGATGCAAGTTGCTCATTTGACACTTGGTATTGCGGTTGGGAGAATGGACCAGGCAGCCAGGGATTTACATGGACCAGGAAGTTTGGTTCGACGATATCAAGTGAAACCGGACCATCCCAGGATCACACCTCTGGGAATGGTAAGGGATGCTTCATACCGAGGAATGTGAACGAGTTATCAACATGATGATACAATTAAAAATTTTTCGTGTGTATTTTAGTGTTAGAAAAAGCTTAGTTTTTGGTTCCACGTTCACGATAAGACGATTTACATTCTTTTATTCGTCGACGGAACTTAAAATCAACCGTTTTTTGGTTTGTTTGTTTCAGTATTGAATGTGCATGTAACTGTCGGAATCACTGATTGTTGTTTTTTTCTCTCCGCTAGTATCAGTAACTCCACCAACATTATTAATTGCCTAAGGGATGTCACGCAAAGCTTTTGCGTTACATCCAGGAATGACCATGACCACCCTTATTTCATTGTAGTTCTTTCCCCACTGCAGGTTTTTACTTTTACATTGAGGCATCTGGACGAAGCATGGGTGAAATTGCTTCACTCGTGTCTCCATATATACGAAGTGATGGAAACACCACGTGTATGGTATTCTTTTATCATATGTATGGACAGTCCATTGGTACGCTCACAGTCAAGGCTGGAGATCAAGTTTTGTGGCAGTTGTCAGGCAACCAGGGAAATGCTTGGTACAGGGCAACTGTACCCCTTAATTTCAATGCCACTTACAGGGTACGGCAGCTGATCTTTTCACGAACATACGTCACCTGCATGAAGTAAAGTATTTCATGACAAACGATTTTTTTCACGTATTTTACTTTATCCTTGTTTGGTTCAGGTGATGTTTGAAGGTGCTGTTGGTAGCACTGCACGCAGTGATATCGCTATCGACGATGTTGAGTTCCAGGGAAATACAGAGTGCGAGAAGACGGCTGAAACGTTAGGTTAGTGGACCGTTAAACTTCGAAATTATGCCATGGGACTAAAATAATTGTTGGTGTTACCAGGTACGATGTAAATGTAAAAGAGTTTCAGGTGTAACTAGACTCAGTGTTTTCATTAGTTTCCGCCAAGTGCTTCTGTCCTTGCCTTCTCGCTTAGAGGCACTGTGTTTGAGTGAAGAAAGCCTTGTTCCCTCAATCCAGAGGTTCGGGCTCAAGAATCGCTGTGATCGCCAGATGGAATTATTTATGGTCAGTTCAAATCTTCCACCACGCTTTTTGATGGCAGCTTCTTCCTGCCATTTGGTGATTTCGATCGTGTCACGCTTGAATACTATTATTAAATTTTAGTCATTTGACGGTTTGTTTAATCAGTGGGCCACAATGAAAACTACCGGGCCACTGGTAATTACAAAGTATTTTTATCAGTAATGGTGTGCAGGAAGGTCAATTTGATGGCACCGCACTTGTTAGACCCTTGGAAATTACCTTTCTTGATTAAAACTCACGGTCTCAAATATAATTTGGAAAGCTCGAACGAACGATTTTCAAAGATTTAGTTCCTCTTTGTTGGCATACATTCGCTCATATTCTCATTCTCTTTCCTTGTTTTCAGTCCCACCAAAAATCGTGTGGATTTCCCCAAATCGAACAGCTGAACTTGGCAGTGAGGTTACGTTAGTATGTACCGTAATTGGTCTCCCCACACCACGTGTGATATGGAAGAAAAATAGAAGAGTTCTTTCGGGGAGTCAGGTGACTGGTAACGTCACTCTACTGAATATCTCTCAGTCCGATATTGGCAGTTATGAGTGCTGGGCAGCTAATGATGTGGGCACTGACACCAGAGCTACAGTACTCGACGTTTTAGGTTGGTGGATTAATTTTTTTCTTGACTATTCCGGAGTGAATACATTGAAATTGCGTACATTTGATGAATCAGAAGTAGCATTGTTAAAACTCAGACGAGTTGTGAACTTAGCAAATTTGAGGGCTCATTAATTTTGAATACCCAGAAAAGCAAACGTACTCTCCTCTACTTCTACAGAACGTTTTGAGTGTCTGGGAATTGCAAATAGTTTGCAGTAACGGGGCTGTTCTCTTTTTTGGAATGACCTATGCAAAGTGCTGAAACTGTGAGTGTTATGGATGAGAAGCGCAATCCAGACCAGATTTTCTCTAGCTTAGTTATTGTTCCCCAATCTAAAGATGGACATTCTATGAAATTAACTTCTCTTGTTTCATTCTCTGAAGGATCTCCGATGAAAATAGTAATCACCAGCAACGCGTCTTCGAATGTGGCAATTTAGGGGGACTCTGTTGCCATACGGTGCTGGTCATATGGCTACCCTGGTCCACTCTGTCACATATATCGCGAGGGTAATTTACTAGGCGCAAATAGAGGTGTTTATGTTATTGAAAACTTCACTACTTTGGATCAAGGAGTCTACATTTGCAACTGCTCTAATGTCGCTGGTGCAGCGCAGGCAAACTTTTCCCTCGCTCTTTATAGTAAGTGGCTTGATGATTAGATTCGTTTTCTTAGTACAAACAAGTGGGAGAATAGTTGACTCCAAATGGCTTATAGTTGTTTTTTAGTATATCTAGTGTGTTTACTCGAGTCCTAAAATGTCATCCGTAGTAACATTGTTAACCAATGATAATGATAATAATCAACTTATTTACGGAAGATAACCGTCAAAAGTATTTCAACTGATGAGCAAGTGGTCCTCTATCTTAAAGCCAAACTGCAGCATGCAATGTGGAACTGGAAGGGAAAGGTCCAAGACTTACTTTTTACCTTACAGAGTCCCCAGCTATCCACACCATTTATCCAGCCTATCAACTTGTGAACGAAACTGATGCATTTGAATTTTTCTGTAATGCGACGGGAAATCCAACCCCGACAATAACATGGTGGAAAATTGGCGACACTAGCAAAGTATATTCCACAGAACCAACACTGGCAATACAAAATGCTTACAAATCAGACTTTGGCAGCTACCGATGTACCGCAACAAGTATTCGCGGTGAAAACGTGTCAGCTGTTGCGCGGGTGGAGATGGATAACTGTGAGTAGAATTTCTGATAATACGATAGTCACAAGATAGAACATGTTCTGGCTTAGACGGAGGCGAAAATTCATCGTGAGCCTTACGTCAGTTAGATTTGGGCGTTAACATCGATTTATACAGGTAAACAATATGATAAAGAAAGAAATGATAGTGTATCACCAAAGTAAATAAGACGGCAGAGTTTAAGTTGGGCGCAAATTATCAGTGCCTATAACGGTGTTTGTCAGTTAATGCACTCTCCCCCTCCTTCCACCCCTCCCCAATGATTTACTCCTCCTCCCAACCCCCCTCCCGAATGATTCACTTTGTATCAGAACAGTATCTGATATGCTTAAATATCAGTAAGGAAAAGCATCAACCTTGATGGCGACTGATAATGTTTTTTTTTCGAAGAAGTCTTTCAAAGCCACTGCGTGATCTGATTTTCAAGATTTGTGTTTTTACATGTTTGTAGTTTCGCCGACAGTCGACTACATTTGCTGTAACGTGACTATTTTGGAAAAAGAAAGAAGAAATGTTACAATGTACTGTAATGCCACAGGAAGACCAGCGGCTCAGCTGTCCTGGATAAGAGTTGTAGATGGTAAAACATTGGTCACTGGGAATACTTTAGTAATCACAGCTGCTGGTCGGTCGCATCGTGGTGAATACAGATGCGTCAGTGATAATGGAGTGCGGAATCCTGTGTCCAAGTCGGCATACGTGAACGTGCTTTGTAAGTTCAGAAAGTTTCTTGTTGAAGTCACCTAGGCAATTATTGTTCGAGGTGTCTTTCTCGTGAGTCAAGCTTCACTTCAAATGCTCAAAGACCACAGCTTAAAAAGGAGAATATATGTTTTCCACAGCATCATCGCCTAAACTCCCACGGGACTTTTTTCGCATTTTGCAGTTACCAAGAATGTTGAGTCCTTTTTTCACATTTTGTCCATTCTATTTAAAGACGCAGCAAATGCATCATCTGAGAACGAGAATCGTTTATTTCATACTAACGAAATGGTGGGAAACTACACGACGATTAGTATTGTCCGTACTTGAAACTTGACCAAGTTCTTTCAAATTAAGTCAGTTAATGTTAATTCAGTAAGTTAAGACAAGCTCTGGACATATTCTCGTATTTATATTCACCACACACCAAAAAGCGTCTGTTAGAGGAGGTGTACTGTTTGCCTAAAATCAAAATCTCAATTTCTCTCTTTTCCTAAAGATAATCCAATAACCACAAGATTAACAACCGATAAATTAAATGCAGTGGTGCTAGGAAATGGTCGCATTGCAATGACTTGCATAACTGATGCCAACCCACCGCCAAGTCAATACAAGTTTTATCGTAATGGTGTCTACTTAAGGACAAGTCTTACAAGAGTGCATGTTATTCACAAGGCCAGATATTTTGACGCAGGAACCTATATGTGTGTACCAATCAACAGGCTTGGCTTTGGTTCAAACGGCTCTGTCCAGGTTTCGGTGATTGGTAAGTAAGACCAGCTCTTGCACTTTCAGTCGCCATAACTTTAGGCGACTCGAAGCGACTCAACTGATTTAAGTACAATATTTCCGAAATTTCACGCGACGTGAGGCGACTTAAGTAGGCCTCAAGCAACAAGCACAGCATCAAAAAGTCATCCACCTGGCGTTGTGTCCATGGTATTTTGATTTGTGCAGAAATACAGAGAAACTAGTCCTAAGCTTGTGGGTCATTGACCTGCTTTGTCGTCAAGTCTTCAAAGAAATAAAGAGAACTGCGATCTAAATTCCTCCAATGTTTGTCAACAGGTGCTTTTTCTATCATGCACTTCCCACGGAACATGACTGTCAACGAAAGTGCACGTGTGTCATTTTTTTGTAATGCTACTTCTTATGCCCCATATGGGAAATTTGCTCCTCAAATCTCTTGGAGTAAGCTAAGAGACAAAAGCAAAGTATTCCCAGCAGGTGAACAGCTCGTTATGAGGAATGTTAGTAGATACGATGGAGGTACATACATCTGCACAGCTAGGAACGGAGTTGGGCTTCCTGATACTAAAACGGCGGTGCTAAGTGTGTTACGTGAGTAAAAACATTTGACATTATGAAAAAATGATTGTCTTTAGTAACCAACCAATTTGATTGAGTTGCTGAACCGGTTGTTACTATATTCTGCAGATAAACCATATGACACTAAGCTTGGGGCATCAGTTCCAGACAATATTGCAGTATTAAACTCATCAGTGGTATTAACTTGTAGAGCAAAGGCCAATCCACCGGTTACATCCTATAACATTTATCACAATGGCATCTTAGTGTCCAATACATCCAGTGGTATTCACAACATCACGCACGCTCTGGCTGAAGATAATGGATCATACGTCTGTATACCGCACAACGAGTTTGGTGAAGGCGAAAAGGCAGCTTTGAACGTGTCTTTTGTGGGTATGTTAAGACTCTCAGTTATGAATCCGTCCTTTATGTCCAAAGAGTTTTGAATGACCAGTATTACTTGAGAACATGTTAACTAAACTGAACAATCCGGTTATAAAAAACGAGCTATCTGTAAATTCCATAGAAATTCGTTATTATCTTGCTTTTGGCTAACGCACTTAGTTGCACAAAAGAACTCAGTTAGAAGCATTATTGTCTCCTGTAATATAATTGGTTAATTTTGTCGTAGTAGCCCAGTGATAGTAATAGCCTCACATACTGAGCGTCTGATAGTTTTCAAACATAGGAACTGTCTTCGAGAATAATATTGATTGAGAAGAGTTATAATTAAGCTACCACTTAGACATACGCATGATGCACGATCCTCGCAGTAGATAGCGCTATTTATGCAATAGCGAAAATCAGACCTGAAAAAAATCAGGCCTGTACGGAACTCGAACCACGGACCTCTGCGATACTAGTGCAGCGCTCTACCAACAGAGCTAACAAGCCAACTGGGAGCAGGCCGTTAAGTTGATTCGTAATAAACCCGTGAAAGTGATAAATGAGAAACAATGAATATATGAAGTTCATATATTTTGAACTGCGGTATTAGATACGTATGATGCACGATTCTCGCAGTACATAGCGCTGTACAGGCCTGATTTTTTTCAGGTCTGATTTTCGCTATTGCATGGTGCTATCTACTGCGAGGATCGTGCATCATACGTATCTAATACCGCAGTTCAAAATATATGAACTTCAAATATTCATTGTATCTCACTTAGACATAGTGCATGCCCAGAAAGATAATGCAAGTTTGGCTGTTTTTCCAAACAGGACCTTGTGGCGTTAAACGCGTGCATCATACCTGGTCGCCGCAGATTGTGGCAGGAGCTAAAGCTAAACCAGGGGAGTGGCCATGGCAGGTCCAGCTCGGATACTTTGACAAAACCGATAGCATCCCTCATCTTTGTGGTGGCTCCATCTTGGATCACTACTGGATTGTCACGGCTGCACACTGTGTAAAAAGTGAATTTGGTAAAAAAACCCCCGCCAACTTCAATGTCACTGCTGGTAAGCCCTTTTTAGTTGGTACGAGTGTTTGTTATCCATACGGTAGAACACAGCCACTTGACCTCCCCAAAATTACAACCTCTTGCTACTAATAATCGAAAGCTTTGTCTTTTCATTAAGCCCGGGACACAGTTATATCGGAATGTTCTGACAATTATAGTATAGCTTCTAGTAGTCTAGTAATGTTACCTATTTACGATAGTAGCGTCAGTTTTGTTAACGTGATTGACCAAGACGCTTATTGCAACGAAATTTTATGGCTCAAGCATAGTCATTTTAAACTAAAGTGTGCAAGATTACATTCTCAAAGGATTGAAATTTTGAGCTGGGATGGGGGTGGGGTGGGTGGGTGGTTGGGATGAGTAAGGTAGTGGAGAAGGAGTCTCAACATGCCTTCTCCCTTTGGGAAATTTCCAGCGGGACTCTAGTATACATGCTCATAGGTATGACCACTGACCACTGGCCTGTTCCTTTCATCGTCAGGTGAACTCCACAGAGGGGTCAGTGAAGGAAGAGAGCAAACTGTTCCTATAGAAAAGATAATTGTGCACGAGAATTTCGACCAAAAAACTTTACAAAATGATATCGCTTTGATGAAGCTCCGGACACCAATCTTCTTTGATGCGCATGTGTCGCCAATATGCCTTCCAAACTTTGATTTTGACGACGGTACCAAGTGTTACGTCACCGGCTGGGGTCGTACTGGACCTCTTAGTTCGACGCCAAACATTCTTCAAGAGACTTTAATTCCTCTTGTAGCTCACAGAGTTTGTCAACTGTATTACAAACAGAAAAGAGTTAATAATGTAACGTCAGATATGCGCTGTGCTGGAACCCTGGGTCAGAGTCGAGGTACATGTAAAGGTGACAGTGGTGGACCGCTGGCCTGTGAGAGAGACGGCCGTTGGTATTTGATGGGAGTTACAAGTTGGGCAAATGAGGGCTGTATGCACAGCGGTGACCCGGGAGTCTTTTCAGATGTCTTGTACTTTAGGAGCTGGATTGAAGAAGTCATGAAGAACAATACAAAGGCAACATAGGAGAGCGGCTTGATTAAAAACGTTGGATTCAATTTTCAGAAAAAACACGAGCAGTTGAACGGAGAGATAAATGAGTGGTATGGTTTAAGAAAATTGTCACAGAATTTCAATTATTTTTGGAACTCTTTCCACTAGTTTGAACAAAGCTGTGCGAGCATTACACGTGTCAGAAGGCTAACTCTTTTGGGGTAAAAAATCGAATAACGAAGTTGTTGTGATGATCCTCGAAACATTTTAATCTACAGTTGAACTTGAACCAAGTTTTAGCACCAGCTTATATCTAGGATGCATGAATTTTTACATAGATATATTTAAGCACCGTGTGTTTGTAAATTTACTTTTATGAATTTCTCCGGAAAGAAATAATCAACATTAAGAAACAAATTATTAATGATAAAAAAAAATTTATCTTGACGTAAACAATTTTGTAAAGAAATCCAATAACACTGTTTCAACAACGAAGTGTGGGATTAATTATTGATTATAAGTCACTGTTTGGAAAGGTCACTTTTTTTATGGATCCTCTCGGCCGTAGAGCTCAGAGATTGAATAAGCCCTTATCCAAACAGCCATATGTTGGGTTAGGTTGAGTGTTAAGAGGTTG